AGAGAGAAAATTGTATATATACATATATTTTCATTCCCCTCTCTCCCCTCTCCCAGATCTCGCTCGCCACTCTCCCAAATCTCGCTCGCCACCCTCGCTTCTCTCGCTTATACAAACAGAAACGAAATGTATAAATTGCGCTTTTGTTTGTATAAAGCGAGAGAAAATTGTATATACACATGCAAATGCATATATCTTCGTCCTATACACTTATAATTATACAATACAAATATTTCCCTGCCCAGTTTTCTTTTGTCTTTCTCTCTTTCTCGTTTTATACATACACAGATTATACAATTAATCTTTTGTATACAACTGCTTTCTTTTGTATATGTATAGCGAATTATACAACTGTCTTCTTTGTATATGTATAACGAATTATACAACTATTTTTTTTGTATATGTATAACGAATTATACATATATATGTTTGCTATGGAGGACAATTATGCAAACTTTGCTATAACATACAAATATGAATTTTGTGTTTACTATATGTGAAAGTTGTTCTAGATTAAACTTTGTTCAGTTCAGTTGTTGAGATTTTGTTCTTCTTTGTGTTGTTGGTAAATTCACGTGATTCAGTTTTTAATCACCGCTAAATTCAACCAAAAGATAATAATTTTAAAAAAAATTAATCTCTATAAATTATGGAAATTTGATAGTAAATTGGACTTTTTTTTTTCAAAATTTGGAGAGAAATGGTTTAAGCAAGTATTTATGGGATGTATTTTGATAAAGGAAGTTTAAGAACAAAATGTTGTGATTGAATTAAATACTTACTTGTAATTGTATGAAATAATTTTTAAATTTTTTTTGCAGCAAGTCACCATTTTACTGCGCCTTGCAAGGCGTAAGACGGTTGAGCCTTGTAAGGTGCATGGGTTATTACGCCTTTCCGTGGCCTCCTATTTTAGACGACGTTAATTCAACCGTTACAATGTTGACCTTTTGGTTCTAAAATCAATTTTGTTGACCTTTTGGAATTTTTGATAAAATTTTTTTACCCTTTTGGCTCCGGACTCTCATGGATGGGTTGTCAAAATTGGGCTAGGACAGAGTTGAAGCGCCAACAAGTTAGGGCTATCGATGAAGTCATGATCACGTAGACCAAAGTTTTGACCGACTTTAAGCATGATAGAGGAAGAAGAGAAGAGATGAGAGGTAGTCATGACCAAGGTGGGGGAGATCATGGAAAAAGCAAGGAGCAACAATCAAATCGCAAGAATCATGACACATATAAGTCTGATTGCAAGAAGTTTGGACGTCAATGTGATGCTGGCAGGAAGACATAAACTACAAAGGAAAACAATTTCTACATATGTGATGGGCCGCATTGCTATGCAAGATGCCCTGAACTGAATAACCTAGGCACATATTACGAAATGGAAGAAGAAAGATACACAAAGACCTGGGCAAGGTTTGGGCATGACGCAGTTGGGATTGATTGGACTATACAGATCTATCGCAAATCAATCATAGAAGTCAAAAGAATATGGTGCACAATATGTAGACATTACGATCAGTGGACGACCAGTTCATGCTATGGTCAACATAGGTGCAGAGGCCAACATCATGACCAAGACCGCAACAACAAAGTTGGGGTTTAGTTATAATCGAAGTAACACTCACCTCAAGACAGTCATTGTACCACCGACTCCCGTGTACGGGGTCACTCAGGGAGTAAGCATCAAGTTAGGCAAGTAGCAAGGTAAAACCAACTTTATTGTCGCTCCTTTTAGATATCTTTGACATAATTCTTGGGAAAGAGTTTTTCCAGAAATGTCATACGGTGATTGATCTTTACCTCCAATGACTCTTGGCCATGGAGAAAGAAAGATCATATATGGTGCCCTTAATTAAAGTATCAAATACAGAAGGACGAGCTCAACTATCAGTCATGCAACTCATGACGTGCCTTAAGAACGGGGAGCCAAAGTCACCATTGCGAATGTGACTAAAAATAATAGTGTTAGAGCGAATTTACCACCATGAACAAAGAAAGTTCTAGAAGAGAATAAAGACATAATGTCTGAGGAGTTACACAAGGGTATTGATCGAGTCAATGTTCTACTAGCCGCGCATGCAAGAAGACAAGATTTGGTTGTTCATAGAGAAACAACGCGCTGCGATCGTCGCAACATCAGGTGGGGGAGAGTGTCATGACCCACCACGTATGCGCCATGTGACATAAAGTTATCCATTTGAAAGCATAAGTATGCTAGCATATATGGAAAGATTCTAGATCCATGAAGAATTTCTTGGAAAGAATCTAGAATATCTAGGAAGAATTCTTATAAAGCCTTAGAATATTCTAGGAATGTAGAGAATTCTGGAAGAATGGTTTATTTGTAAAATATGTAGGGACTTATGTAACAATTATTATTAACACCCCTAAGTTAGTAGTATAAATACAGAGGCATCTATTTGTAAATCAACCAAGCAAGAAACAAGCATTCTTCAAGCAATACAAAAGCCTCCTTACAAACTCTCTTGTATCTTCATTTTCTTAGCTATTTAAGTTTGAAAAGACGTTATAAAATCGTGAAAGAATCGCGAGTAAGTTGTTGAGTGCCGCACGGAGTGTTAGCTAAAGTCTAAGTCCGTGACACCACCCCTATATGTGCCTTGGAAAAACATTTGACTTCTCTATTAGATGTAGCTCTAGTTGTACTGCTGTCCTCAATTCTAACACACTCTTTTGAGTTACTGTCAACTATGCAAGGTAATCCCTTATTCTCAATCCACGCCAGAATGTAAAATACTTCTATCTCAAACAATCACATCCCTTTCTCAATTTTAAGTTGTTTCAAGATATTCAAATTTCGGCTGCCTTTTAATACGGAAATAAAATTTGAAGAAAATTGTTAGTAGCTAAATCACGAAAAATTCTAAAGGACAGGTACCTTAAATATGTATGTACGTTATCCTGTAAACAATAGAAGAATATTAGCTGACACAACTAATAATATTTATATGTGGAATGTAGTCATTGAACATTGTACTTTAAGGTTCGAGTGAAGCTTTTCTATTGATTGGTGTATCACCTTTGTTACCAATAAATGAGTAATAATTTTAACACAATTATAAAGGATTGGATTCCAAATATACCAAAAACAATATACTGATATGCTTTACATATTTTATTTAGTCTTGACTTTCAAGTACTTCTATTTTCATACATATACGTTTCCTGATCATATATTAGGAACACTTAAACATTACTGGGTCTAGTGCTTCATACAACTTTCTTGACTTTCTTTACTGTCTTCGTTTAGTTCCTTGATATAATCACAAACATATTTGATTGCTAATAATTGAATCTGATGAGTAAAATCAAGAGACATGTCTTTGACTTCATTACAAATTCAATTGTACTGTTTTCTCGATAAATACGTAATTCACAATTCAAGACACGGTGAGAAAATTTTATGTGACATCCTAGCATAGAATAAGAGTCTCACATCAGCAAAATACAGAAATGTCAGTTATATAAGTAAACAACTCTTACATATATCTTAGTAACACGTTAAAGTCAGGTAGATTTAGGCCTAGAACAATCAATATTACTAATAGATTGGACCAATATTTTACTTGTATAAATTTAAACTCAATGACATTGTTTTGAAGTTTCACATATATAAATTCCATGATAAAATAATTTCATATGTGGTAATCTGAAAATAATAAAGTAAATATATAGGTAATATGTGGAATTAAGAGGTAATTTCAGTTCAAATATACAAAGAAAACTATTAAGAGTGTAATTTCATGGATAGTGCCTAAAATAATAAGGTAATTTACAACATGAACTTCAACTTATTCAATCCATGCTTGCGGCATGTAGGTTGAAGTTTTTTGAGGAAATGGCTAAAAGCATTCCTAATATATTACTCTAGTATTATTTCTCCAATTATACATTTTATTTTTGCAAGGGTCTGTTATCTTCTATAAACTGACCATGTAGCAAGGTTAGTTACATATATAAAAAGATTGCTATAGGTATCTGTTGTTAATTACTAATAACAACTTAATCCAGTACTACTTGACAGAATTGTAACCAACAGTTAACTAACTACACATTATAACTTAATCACAATGGACTAATCCACCATTACATTGGTTTATTATACTTAATAGTATCCCTCATTGGCAAATGAAACTAGCTACATGGGCAGCAGCGTCAAGTAAGTTCATCCAAAACATTATCTACTACATATAAATAATAATAAAACTATTTTATTTAAACCTCTTAATGAAAATTCTGGCTTCTTTCACTATACATGGACGGGATAATAAAACAGCTGCTACATACTAGGTAACATGAAGTTCCACTAATAAGTAATATAATGGAATTTAGAATAGCCTGGCTGTTGAGAAGCATAACAGGACACTAGTTTGTTATGCCTCAGGACAGACAAGCAAAGATGTATGTAGATCAGATCAAGATGTTTCCTCATCAATATATCTATAACGTGCATATAATGCCAATAACCATGTTTTTCTTGATCTTAGTTGACACTTCATGAGTAAATCTTATCCGACTGAAACGTGGATCAGGAGCCCAAACAGGGATGCATCTGACTCAGATATCATGTATGTAAAATATGATACTTGAGTCTAACTCAACCCAACCCTGAGGGGTAGCTCAGCTGGTAAAGGCCTGGGACAAAGTCCTTCAGGTCGCCGGTTCGAGCCCCAGCAGGGCCACTGGAGGCATTACAAACCGGCCGCGTCTCCAGGGCCCCGTGAAACTAACCGTGGTGGACCCGCCTTGAAACAGCGGGACCCGGTGGGTACAGCTAGTCGGATTCGCAAAGCGACGCCCGGAAACCACGGTAAAAAAAAAAAAAAAAAAAAAAGTCTAACTCAACCCCAACAGCTATGTTGTGAGTCTACTATAACATGATTAAATCTCTTCTATTTACAGGATCAAAATGCATATCTGCTTATCATTTCAGATGTTAGAAAAGTATTACATGGTATATTCTAAATCAAAACCTATACTTTTCCATGTGGAGATCTGACCCTGAATACATGTTCTTCCCCTGTACATTGATCCACTTTGACGATCCAACGACTCTTTTTCTCCGAAACGCCAAAATCACTGCCTCTCCGTGTCACCAATAAACCTTCTCCTATGGGTAACAAATGAGCATTAAAACTTTCACATTTCCATGATCCCATTCGCAACGCGTTGTACCCTAAAACAATGGCGGCATTATTATTTCCCCCTATCCTTCGTGCCGTCTTAAAAATGCCTTCACAGTTGTTAATGTTGCAATCAATTACTACACAATCTGCTCTTCTATAGTCATTTACTAGTAGAGTTTTGGCATCTCCATTAATTACAAATTCAACGTGCATCGCGTTATGTTGTAGAAATTCAATTGATGGATTTAATTTATCGAATTCGTTGAGGATGCAAATGACTCTACCACCAGTTTGCTGAGCTGCAGCCACAAGGGCTAGTGTGGTGGAATCGGCTGCACCAGCACATGCGACGACCATCAGTTGTGCATTGTTTCCAGCAACAAGTGCTGAGATGAATTCTGATACATCTGGCTCTTTAGCACTCTTTCCCTGAAATACTAAAACAATTAATAAAACATTTGTTGATTGAATTGTAGAACAAATTGTCAAATCATCACTAACCATTTTTATTGCTTTCAGATAGGCTTTGGTTGCACTTTCTGGTGACCAGCATGCCATTTTCTTTCTTTGAAATTGGATGGACTCTTTGGTTGGGTGAAGTTTGAAGGTTATTGGGCAATATATAGTATTGGAAGGGCGGTAGTTATGAGCAATAAATCCTACTCTTCCGTTTCATATTAGTTGTCACATTTCTTTTTTTACAAGTCTTTTAAAATATCATAAAAAAGTATTATGGAAAGAATATTTTTAGTAATGTTGACAATTAATATAGAATGAAGTATGTTATCCAACTGGAAAAAAATAAAATTAAAGAATATTTTAAAATCGTGATGAAGGTAATTTTCACTCGATTTGTGTACTAATTAAGTGGACGATTAATTTAGTTTAAATTTTATCAGGGTGCGATAAATTTTTTGGCTCTTCGTTGTGGTGTTGTCAATCAGAGAGACAAATGAAAATTTTAATCCTTCAAGTAGGACTATTTGAACCAACTTGGAAATATCAATTAGTATTATTTGAAGACAAAACTGATAGGAACCATGTTTATTAGTCCTATCAGTGATCCAACAAACAATCGTTGTATTAATTAATCAAGATTCGAGTTTAGTACAGCTTGAATTAATAAATTATCCAATTGGGAAGTGACTGTCACTTCTTGGTCTTTTGGTGTACGGTAACTTAAATAAATTTACATAATCTTTCAATAAATTAAAGATTTACGTAACTTATAGGAATATTTAACTTCTTGTGACAGATTATCTTATTTTACCAGTAACTAATTTAGCTATTTCTAAATCCTTAATTTCAATTATCGTTCATACACAATGCATACTAGATCTGATTAACTATTTATTTTGCCCTTTCTATTACCTATCTTTATTTTAGTAAGTCTTTCAGTGACATATTTTGATCCTTCTTTTCATTACTTAGAAAAAAGTGAGCTATCCATTCAGGTTAAACTATTATTATTATTATCGTCTGAACGATTAGATATCCAAAAATAATTGTTACTATTTTATTTTCCCAACATATCTTACATTTATGATATATGATGAAATAGTTTAGGCATTGTGCCAATCTGATGATATGTTGTGGTCTGCCCTGCTCTGCTGCACTAACACAAAGCCATTTTGTTACGTAATGTTGCAGGCCAGCTGTAACATGTCATTCTGGCTACCTAGCAATTATCCACGTACAAATTTCATAAATGTTGGAATAACGTTGATAAGTTTCAAGAGAAAAACGTGAATGCACAATTTATGGGTCCGATTTTTTTTGTGGAAATAGTATTGCAGCCTTAGCTTGAAAGAGACAATCAACATGGGTTGGAACTTGAAATTCGATCAATTGCACCAGAGTCAACTTCATTACACGTAGCATTAAAAAGGTTACGTGACTTTCTGAAATTCATATCCTACTAGTTGTTAAATATTTTGTAATATATAGAGGTCTTAAATTGACTAGAGATATCTATTTATGAAATATTTATGAAAAATCATCTTGTAATATGCAAAGGTCTTAAATTGTACCGTATGTTCATGAAAGAACATATAATTATTATAAAAATCCATATCTTATGTTTTATATATAAATATAAGGACTCTCTAGAAATAGCAAAAAACATATGTAAGTACATATAAGGATTTTATTGTATTTTAAAGGGAATTGTTTATTTTTCCCCAATATGTATATAAACAATATTTTTTTAAGGATAGTGATTTTTTACGCTTCAAAGCCATCTTCTTTTATCATTATACTTCCTATTTTTTTAACAGTATCAATTCACATCGTACATGATTATTTTCATTACAATGACTCTATTATTACTCAGAATTGATGCTCCTAACATAATTAATCACACAAAGTTCAGGTGCCCAAGATGTATTAGGGGTGTCAAAAATGAGCCCAACTATAGGTAACTCATTCAATTCTTTCAAAAATTTATGGATTGGGCTCAAGATAATTTGAATTAGGTTCAATCTCAACTCATTCAAGTCTTAACTCATTTTAAGAAGGGAAACTTACATAAAGATACTATATTAAGAAAAATATTTACCATTTATAGCAATAACATTTTTTTTCACTTGATCATTTTTAATACAGTTTTAATACATATTATAAAGAAAAATTTATAAAACACATATAATACAAGTTTTATTGATGAATAATGCATTTATCACACATTTTACTGACACATTTTAATACAATGTGTTAATTTCTTACCAAACAAGCATAATATATTTTAAAACAGTTATAATAAATATATCTTGCATACATAATTCACTTTTAATACATATTGCAGATTTATTAGAGTATTGATATGTATTGCTATAAATGGTAATGAATAAAAAATATCACTAAAATTAGTAATTATTTATTAAAAGGTACCCATCCAAGTAATTTTTCCATTTAAGAGAATCCTCAATTGAGCTCAGTTTAATCTCCAATTTCAACCCGTTTTAAGACTTTTTATTTGCATTAATGTAAATTTAATGTATGTTCCTATATTGAAGGTATGAATTACTAGATATTTTATATCTTAGGATTTATCTATGTATTTGTGTGTTTTTTTTCTTGAGTTGAAATGCAAATTGGGGTTATACAACTTAAATTACAATATATTAAAATTATTGAAATGTCTGCTACTTCTCGATTTTGTGGCAATCATCTTGGTCTTTTTTTGAGCCCTATAGATCAGAAGCCTTGGCTGCTACTGTTCTGTGTCTCATTCGTACCAAAACAGACGACGAAGCTACATCAATCAAGAATGACCGCAGCCTCTAAGTCAGCTTGCCTTTTGCCTCGTGGCTTGGATCGAAGCGGGTCAATATCTAACCCGTTTTAAGCACATTTGAGCCCAAGTAAACTTGGACGGGTCAGGACCCAACCCAATTTCTATTTCAACCCATTTTAGTATCTACAATTTCAACTCAACTTGTCCATTTGACACCCCTGAGAATATATCTACACACTACCCAACTAGGGGTGTCAAATGAGCGGGTTAGATTGAAATTGGAGATATTAAAATGGGTTGAAATGAAAATTGAGTTGGGTCTTGACCCATCCAAATTTACTTTGGGCTTAAAACAGGTTGGGTCTTGACCCGCTTAATCTCTATAACTTTAATATATTGTTATTTACGTTTTATAGCCACAATTTGAATTTCAACTCAAGAAAAATTTAAAAAAGAAGTTACAAATGGATAGATAAATCCTAAAAGATATAAAATAGATAGTAATTTATACCTTCAATATAAAGACATACATTACATCAATGCAAATAAAAAGTCTTAAAACAGATTGAAATTGGAGGTTAAATTGGGCTCAATTGAGGATTCTCTTAAAATGAGTTAAGGCTTGAATAGGTTGAGATTGAACCCACTTCAAATTATCTTGAGTCCAACCCTTAAAATTCTGGTGCGGATTAGACGGGTTACCTATAGTTGAACTCATTTTTGACACCTCTATACACACCTAATTCATGTGTCATAATCTGCGTCACGGACAACTCATGTGGCTTAACCACATCTATGTATTATACGATATACATGTAAACTGTTGGTTTGTAGCATATTATTATTAAAATTAAAAAATATGTATATGATCACAAACAAATAAGCTACATGCAAATAGCCAACAAAAATGCTTATAATATTATCTCTAATATGTAAGTATTCTCAAATAGTGATGCAATAAGCAAAACAACAAAAGTAGACATGGTATATCATAATACCCCGATATAACAATCCATGTATCAATATATGCACTAATCACCTCGCATATATGTAAACATGTTATATCATAATATCCCAACATACAAATATTTGTATCAAAATTCTGGGGATGAACTTGGGGGTCCTCATATGGTAAATTTATAAACTGTCTCAAGAAATCTTACCAGCTAAACAAGAATCAGGTTCTTGTCAAATTTGCAAAGATAAAAAAAAGTCGTTTAGCCCTTTCACTTGACGATTCACATTCAATTTTATATAATAGATGTGTTTAAAGAACTCAACATTATCTGACTTAATTACTGTATGAAAATAAATTTCAAAATTATCGAATTTGTGAACTAAATATTTGTAGCATATTCAATAAAAACACAATCCACAATTTTCTATCCAATTTTTATGCTTTTGGATAATGGAACTTGTACCTTTTCTAAACATTCTCATACTTTGAAATATTTGAAGTTGAGTTTTCTTCTTTTCCATAGTTCATGGAATAGATTGAATTTTGCTCTGGGCACCCTGTTGAGTATTTGGTTAATCGTAAGAATAATTTCTTCCCACAAGTAATAAAGCACTCAGCATCTTCTTTAATGTTCGATTTTTCCTTTCTGAAATTTCATTTGATTGTGGTATGATCATAGTTTGATGAATAATTTTATATTTTGAACATATTTCTGCAAAAAGGAGATTCGTATTCTCCCTCCCTATCACTTTTTATTATTTTTATCTTTTTGTCCAATTTATTTTCAAACGAGCACTCCTTTCATCCCACGACTTTGGAGAAAAAGTCTAATTTGTATTACGAAAATATTTAGAACAACAACTTGGAGAACTTGGTAAGAATATACAAGAATATTTTTCTCAAGAAAGAAAATCGAACCCACGTCTAAATGCACAGTGTTTTCTTAAGAAAATTATTCCCCTCAAATATCTGAGGTTGATGGAATATATCATCCCATGATAAAATAATCTTACTTACTGGTGTATCGGTACCAAAAACTATGATGTGAGCGAACCACTCAATGACAGTAAAGAACACTAGAATTTATTTGTGCACAAGAAAAAGTTCTGAAGTTCAGAAAATTCGTTGTTGAAAAATTTCCTCTATTAATAGACAACAAAGAGTAGTATGAACATGTGTTTATTGTGCCTTATAGGAAAATTAGTCACAACCCTTTGAAAAAGTCACAACCTTTCAAAAAAAATCACAATCCTCCGAAAATATTACAACCTTTCGAAAAGTCACAATGCTTTAAAAATATCTCGTACAACTCTTCAGTAAAATTGCAACCCTTTAAAAATGTCATAACTTTTTTTAAAAATCACAATCCT